AAAAAAAAAAAAACAACTGTGCCAAGTGAACATTACACTTGTCAAGAAAATCAATATTAGCTAATACACGCTATCCAGCCCTCCGTTACCCAACAGATCCCAGTATTAAAAACCTCTATTTGCAATCAGAAAGGTATTCTGAATGCAATTTGACTAATATTCAAAAAGATGAACTTCCTGATACATAAACGCATCTTAAAATGTATAAAAGGGAAGTCGCTTGGGAAAGTTCCAGTAAACCAGTGTTAAAAAAGATCTACTGGAAGCGGACCAACTCTCCCGCCTGACATGCAACAGTAAACCAAACTGTTTCGCTCTAAACTGGTTCTAGTAATCTTTAACAGACCCATCTAACCTACATATCCCTTTAGCGACCCTCCCTTAATGGGAAGTCAGAATGCCTTTGTGTCAGGAAATTTATACTGCTTTTGAATATTTGTCGAAAATGCTTTTAAGGACTTCCTCGACCACGTTTGAAGACGTATAAGTAGTTCATTCACCAATAAACGCTTCGGAAAAATATATACCATCCAGTAATGGCTATCCTGACGAGTGTATTGTTTACTTAGCATCAATAAACTTCATTAAAATCTCATATTATTAATTTGAAAGCACAAATCTAATATTGCAACGCAGCAAGCTTTCCTGAAACTAGTTAAAAATACCACGTTTCATTCTTGAGAAACTGTTCAACACGGTTACAACCCTTTTGACTCTGTACTTTAGAAAAAAAATCAAGTCCAGCAAGAAGAGATTACAAGTTACCGCTAAACCCTTTGTCAGGGTTCTTTTTTTTCCTCTTTATATACTCTTTCCGATCAGCAATGTCAGCTTGCGTTTCTAAAGCTTTAAGTCGTTCATAGTCTTCACCAGCCTCTTCAGCCTTCTAAAAAATAAGAAAAATGACCCTTTAAAACCTCGTATAAAGAGAAAGGGAAAATTGTAAGGTGAAATACACATAAAGCAACAAAGAATGAAGGATAACGGCAACCCTGACTAATCAAGTCTTAAAAAAAAAAATTATCAACTGAACTTATTAATAAACAGAAAATGAATGAAAATGAAATATCATGATCGCGATCCTAATGAATTCGTAAATTACAGTAACAACCTTTCTAGCTTCTAACTCTTCCAGTTCCCACTCCTGTCGCTTTCGTTTTACTTCATAATTCTGAGGTAATTTAAGCCGACGATCTTCTTCAACAACACTTTCATGGTTTAACTTCCGCGACTCCAGCTGTAAATGTAATAGGTAAGACGTCAGTAAGTAATTGCCTGTATAACTTTCCAGAAAATGTTTAACAAAGTATGGCGTGATCTCCCTTTTTCACGTGTATTTAAACATTTTAATGGTTTTGAAAACATGAATGAAGCCTCCCAAAATAATGCTGTAACCGGCAAGAAGAACCAATCACCTAACAATCAAAGTATTAAGAAGTATTTAAAGAAAGGCGAAACCACATAGTGTGGGTCACAAAATAACGGTGGCCAAATTTGCGCTTTAAAAATCAGTATAATACCGATGCCTTGAACGCGCCTATACTACAAATAACGTATAATAGTAATATAAATGTTACCAATGCTTATTACCTTTCCTACATGGTAAACAAAATCGTTTGATTCAATCGACTAACAACCGAAAACCTACGTAAATTTCTAAAAAATGTACAGGAACAATGTCTTAGAAACCAATGCCTATCTTAAAGATGAAAATATAGTCGTTTCTTATGAGCCCAACCATCGTCTCACATTAAAACAACATCAACTATTAATCCATTAAAACTCTTTGCCAAAATTAACGTAAATCGTATACAGCGATCTAAAAAAACCACACCAAGGTTAAGTGTAAAATTAATCCTATGCCCTCATCAAGAGCTGCTTTTCTCAATCCGTACGATAAAATTGTACTTAAAGATAGGAATAATAGATTTAAGAAACTAATACTACTTCTTAAAAATTTCTTTCTTTATTAGTTTCCACTCAAGTTCTATCGTACACCGTGTTTT